CGTTAAATGTGTGACCTTCAGCCGGAAATTTTGGTTGTGGTCATTTGACTCACAAGTCTTTTCTCTTCCTTCGCTATATTTATCGCCCACATACTACTGCGGACCGTATAACAGTGGAAAACCACTGTGGGAGAAGTTTCTGCGAAGTTCGTCTTGGAACGATATGCTCATTGGTTTTGTGCTTGTCATGTGGTGGCATTCTGGGGCCATGATGCTAACCTTTTTTTTTTTTTTTTTTTTTTTTTTTTTTTTTTTTTTTTTTTTTTTTTTTTGAGACCATATCTCAATTAATGCTTGTCATTCATGCACAACAGCCATGCTAATCACCCTTCTTTGTACTGTTCCAATCTTAATGTCTGTCCCAAATGACCACGGCACAAATCTTCTTTCTCTGGATTGTTCCCATTTTAACGGATGGATGTGTGTCTCAAAGGACGAGTGTGCGAAATGGTAAGCACTAAATAGGCTGTGGTGCAAATGAGCACAAAATGCCGCCACATCACATCACATCTCGTCCCATCACATCACATCACATCACATCACATCACATCACATCACATCACATCACATCACATCACGTCACATCACGTCACGTCACGTCACGCCATGTCACGTCACGTCATGTCCGGTCCTGTCCCGTCCCATCCCGTCCCATCCCGTCCCGTCCCGTCACGTCCCGTCACATCACATCACGTCCCATCACATCACATCACATCACATCACATCACGTCCCATCACGTCACATCCCATCCTGTCACGTCCCATCATGTCACGTCACGTGACATCATGTGACATCACGTGACATCACGTCCCGTCCCATCCCATCCCATCCCATCCCATCCCATCCCATCCCATCCCATCCCGTCCCGTGCCGTCCCTTCCCGTCCCGCCCCCTCCCGCCCTGCCCCGTCCGTTCCCGTCCCGTCCCGTCCCGTCCTGTCCCATCCGGTCTGGTCCCCTCCCGTCCCCTCCCGTCCCCTCCCATCCGCTCCCTTCCCGTCCCGTCCCGTCCCGATCCCGTCCTGTCCCGTCCCGATCCCCTCCCCATCCATCCCGATCCCCTCCCCATCCATCCCGATCCCCTCCCCATCCATCCCGATCCCCTCCCCATCCATCCCGATCCCCTCCCGTCCCCTCCCGTCCTGTTACATGCTGAAAGCCTACACACGGGCCCCTCACGGGACCCGAGGTTGGAATAGGGCCCCCAGGTCGCGTCACCGCAACCTGAAGGCCCTATGGCATTTTTACTCGGGCCTGCATCAGAAAAACGCCAGCTTTAGATTATTTTTATAGTCTTTATTTTATTTATTTGCTGCTGTTTTTCTAACGGGTGTACTGTTGTCCGTTTTGTGGCCAGGTACACGCTTCTAGGGCCAGGGCCAGATTCAGGCCCAGAGGCTGAGCTCCTAAAAACGTTTGGACCTTTTCTTTTGTTTTCGAACAGATTTTGACCTGTTCGAACCCAGGCCGACGTTGAGGCCGGGTACGTTCGCACAGGACCGGTTTGAAGCCAGGTACCAGGAAGATTAATCCTGGACAGGGCCTGGACGTCCGGTAGGGACCCAGGCAGGCCGTTTTAGGCCAAGGACTGAACCAGTTTTCGAAGCCTGCGATCTGGACCGTGGATCGGAGTTTCGATCTGCACGGTCAGAACGCAGGCCGTGGGTTTTCAGTCCTGGCCCAGCACTACTTAATCTGGGCCATTGCCCAGTTCGGACACAGAAGGTACCAGGAGAAATCCAGCGTTATGCTGGTTCAGGAAYWTGGCTGCTGCGCTATTTTGGAGACTCCCTGCTGCGCCATTTCGAGACTGCAGCTGCGCTGCTCATCRGYCATGAGGCACAGCGCTGGAGGAGTCCAGCGCTGAGGAGGGTAGTGGAGTTAGAGAGAGAGAGAGAGAGAGAGAGAGAGAGAGAGAGAGAGAGAGAAGAGGACTTACCTGCCCAGCGCCATAGCTGGCTCCGCGGTACCTGCAAGTTCAGCCATCGCCAGGTAAGTGCAGAAAGCACCCAGCTTTCTTCTTCTTCTTCCTCTTCTTCTTCTCCTCTCCTCTTCTCCTCCTACTCCGACGAAGTTCTTCTTCTTCTTCTTCTTCTTCTTCTTCTTCTTCTTCTTTATCAGAGTAGAGATAGAGGTAACTGCAGACATTGTTTGGACACGGCCTTCTGCCTTATTGGACACGACATTCAGATCGGACTTACACTGTACATTGGGATTGAACTGTGTGCGACATTCGGAGATCAGACTTGGGTTGGACTTGGCTACCTCTTATGTCCCTCCCCCTTCTCTCTCGCATGTCTATGGATCTCTCCCCATGTGTGTGAGCGGAAGGGCAATCTTTCTGGTGTCTTGCCCTTCCGAAGTTTCTCCCTTTCATGTTGTTGTCCAGGTGTCCTTTGATACTAGATCTTCCGCTGCGCTGCTTCCCAGCCTATGATGATGATGATACAAATGTGTTGTTATTGATTTCCCGTTGCTTCACTCTTTGCGTCGCGCACATTGACACCTTGTGAATGTTGCACCTATGCTGCTGGTTGTTGCCACTTTCGTCATTGCTAGATCCTAGGCTTTCAGTGCATTTCACTTTCTGATATGCGACACGTCCCCTCCCGTCCCCTCCCATCCCCTCACCCATCCGTCCCGATCCCCTCCCCATCCGTCCCGATCCCCTCCCCTCCCCTCCCGTCCCCTCCTGTCCCCTCCCGTCCCCTCCCATCCCATCCCATCCCATCCCGCCACGCCACGCCACGCCACATCACATCACATGAAGTAGCATGAGACGGTAGTCACTTCTTTCGGCAGAGACAGAGATGGAAAATGAGGTCAGAGATATAAACACAATATTCTTTCTGGCATATGCTGTGGGCAGAGGACATTCACATCACATTAATGACTAGTGTTACTTGATGCACTTGTAATGAAGCCTGCAGATTCTCAGTGGACTGTACCTTGGGCCGAGGGCGAAGCTCGGGGCTTGCCTCGGTCGGGTCGCGTCTTAAGGTTAGATTTGTAATTTTGTTTGACTGAGGGCTAACCGCGACAGCTGAGTGTGAGGAAATTCGTGAGGGACATATCTGCAACTTTGGGAAAATATAGGCCCGTACTAACTGGAATTTCCTACAGCTACCCTAACTGCGATTAGCAGGCCCGGACTACCCCTAGGACAGACAGGCCCTACAGGCCTATGCTGATAGACGGTCCTATAGCCTATAGCCGGGTAAGGTAGAGGCCGAGAGGCCGAAACTGAAACGGTACCGGTCGGTCCAGTCAGTCCGGTGTAGGTCGTGTCTAGGCTAGTGTAGGTTATTGATAGGATGGGGACATCGGTTCAGGGCTTTTGGCAGTTGGTACCGAGTACATCGCTGCTGCGCTACGCGTGAACCGGAAGTGGTGACGGCTCAGCGTTGTGGGAGACGGACATAGCCAGACCCTCGGAGCGCCATCCATAGCTGGGACCTGCGCTGTACTCTGTCAGCACGTGGGGCTGTACAGAGGTCTGGGCTATTTGAGGTCTGCTGGAGGTGAGAGAAGTTGGTGCCCTGCTGGACCCTCCTCTGGAGTGGGGTTCCAGGGTTGTGGCGCTGCAGCCATATCTGCAGCTTTTTTCCTCAGAGGTCATCTTGTCAGGATTTGGTGGCGCTGCTGCAGACTTCCGCCCGGGAAGTCTTCCGACATTTCGTCATCATCAGATACTGTGGTGCTGGTCTTCTTCTTCATCCTCTGAGTGGCGCTTGGCCTCAGAGGCCTGTTTCAGGGTGGCGCTGCCCTCTGGAGGCAGTAATTGGGTGGCGCATGATCTTTCAGGGGCTCAGGGGTGTCACGAATGGTTACTCAGGGTTGGGGAGTGAAGCGCTGCTCATTTTTTAGCAGCGCACTGTGGGTCTGAACTTCGCTGAAGTTATTCTGACAATTTGAGACTCTGAGTTTAATAAACAGTGTAATGCTGGGTTTGGACTATCATCGTTTCATTGTTTCCTGGATGTGATCTAGTGGGCTTTTCTTTATGACTGGTTGTGAGGATTGGGTGGAGTGAATTGCACTTTCAGTGTACCCTGTCATATCGCATGGTCAATTCTTCCGCTGTGTTTATCTCCCCCCTGTGCGGTGTGATACTCCTAGCCTCTCCCCTTCCTTCTGTGTATGTATGGGCATACCGGGAAGTCCATGTGTGCGAGCGTTGGTCTTGAGACAACAAACAACCAGAATCATAACACACTAGTCTCTAATGTGAATGTCCTTTGTTGGCCAATGTGAATGTCCTTTGGCCACCACATGTCAAAAGATTGTGTTTATGTCTCTATCACTAGTGCAAGAAGAAGAAAGAGGAAGAAGAAGAAGAAGAAGAAGAAGAAGAAGAAGAAGAAGAAGAGGAAGAAAAAGAAGAAGAAGAAGAAGAAGAAGAAGATGTTGCTGGTTTGAATTGTTGGTTCCGTTGCTGGTTCCATTGCTGGTTCCGTTGGTGGTTTGACTTGCTGGTTCTGGTACTGTCTCAGGTGGTCAGTGTGGTGGATGCGGGAGTGTGGCAAGCCCCTTGATAAGCCCTGGTGCGCAGCCAGGTGAAACGCGCGGGTGGGGAATGTGCGCGTTGAGCATCTTATGTCTGTGTAGGCGCTGTTTTGCTCACTTATCGAACATGGAAGCATAGCGCTCGGCCTTGCTATTTCAATTCAGTTCTGGTACTGTCTCTGTTTCTGCTTCACGTTCTGAATCTTCTGATTGATTTCCCACGACTATCGTCTTCGCCTGGCCCTGTATAAAGAACGCCGCACTGTCATTATGGCTGTGTCTAGACTTGAAGTTGATCCAAGTACAGCGTTAATGACCGCATGTTCCATTTTGCAGAAGCCAGTGACTCGGGGTTTCGTTACGTGGCTGTTGATTTCCCATCTGACGACTCTCTTCTTTCTCATTGTGTGTGTGCATGTGACATGTGTTTTGTTTGTTTGTGTGTTGGTGTGTTTGTGTGTTTGTCAATGTGCAGAGGATCTGGGGAGAGAGAATTTCAGCTGGAAGCTGGCAATACCACAGATGACACGTGTAAGATTCTGGTTAGATATGAGACGCCCGTTGGCTGGCTGACGATAATGGTCGTCGCTCACCTGTGGATCAAACCTTCTTTTTTCTCACTTCTTATTTTTTTTTTTTTTTTTTTTTTTTGACCACGAATGAGATATTGAACTGATCGGTCCTTCGGGACATCCGTTAAAATTGGAACGATACAAAGAGAGAAGATTAGCATTGCCTCTGCGCAAGGATGACACGCATAAATCGAGAAATGGTCTAATTATAGTAATTAAAAAAAAAAAAAAAAAAAGAACTGATCAGAACAGATACTATGTCGTTGCCAATCTGGCAATCTCTCTGTGATTGAATACCCTTTTTCCTTTTTTCACTCACCGAGTCCCCGGTAAATTTTGAAACCCATGTTGCGGTCATGTTTTTTTTAATTGAATTGTCAAATAACTGACGTATGAAAAGTTGGTATAGACACTCCGACGTTAGAACTGACATGTGTTGCAGTCACGACATTTGCACTTGTGGGCTCCTAGCAGTGTATGCCCATACCAGCGCCCCTAGCACACCCGTCGGATGTCAATTTACTAATTCTAAAAAAGCATATATATTGATTGATTCTGACGATATATAAACTCCGACGAAACAGTTTGTCACAGCCCCTCGTTTGTTGTCCTCTTCTCTCTCTCTGCCTACGGTTTACCGGGCAGTTCTGTTTGTGACGATATA